AATTCATTCAGTGTTATAATCAGTTCTTGTTTATCTTGATTACTTGCCAGCATTTCATGAATACAGTTATTCTTTAGAGTTCTATAAATCTTTATGCATTTTAAAGGTGTGATCCAAAAGTTTATTCTCAGAGATCTGATTTTGGAATTAGTCAAAGTTCTCTCTAACTTTCTGAAAATGAAAATATATTTATTTGTAAAAGTATTAAAGTAAAATAATAACTGTCTATAAATGACAAGAACTTAAAATAGCATAGCTATAGATCTGATTATAATGAAATTGAGAAAAAAATTGGTTTTCTCTGCAACATAACATTTTAAGAAACTAATTAGAATTGCAGGTGAAGATATGAGGACATTGCAAAATCTTGGAGATGATTATCTCTTAAAAATTTATTTTTAGTAATAAGGGTATATGCATACCAATAAAACACTATTATTTCTTTATTTGACAAAGCTTCCTATGTCATTTTAATCTATCAAATGGACTTAATTAGTTTACATTTTCTCTTTTAAAAAGAAAGGCAGAACAAATCTTTGAGACATTCCAGGGGCCCAGTGGGATAACCTAAAGTCATTTCCAGATTAACAAAAATCTCCTTTTACATCCTGAACCCTGGGAATTTTGTCAAACATGTTTGCCCAAAAGGATTATATATCATTATGAAACAATATTAAATTACCCAATTACTCAAAGTAAAAGATGTCAAATGTAAATACAGGTTACCTATTATTAGCAAAACTTTAGTTTTTAAAATTGAGAAGATTCATTTCCTGAGTAATCAAGTACTTGATTAAGACAATGTAAAACAAAAACAAAAACAAAAGACAGTATAAAACACATAAAAATAATTTCACTATAATATATAATCCTTTCTAAGTAGAAAACTTCACATATCTTAATTGGAGCAGAACAATATAGGAAAACTTTGTCCTTTTGACAGTGTGAAAGAGAACCAAACAGTAATTCTGTATTAGTTTACTTTAAGTACTTAAATTAACTTACTTTATTCAATTTATCTTAATTTTATTCAGCCTCACAATAGGTAAAAAAAATCCTTTCTCAGGATTCCTTTTCCACAAACCTTCTACAACTTTCCTAGTCCCTCTTAGTTTGTCTCTTCTTACTCATTAAGAAATAACCAGCCTTATGTGATGACAAGCCACTTTTGTTTAAATCCTTCAAAACTGTACCTTATAACTATTTCTATACCTTATAACTTCCTTCACTGAAAACACACATCATTTCTTTCCATATTAATTAGAATTCATAATCCTCAGAACCTTAATATTTACTGACAACTGAAATGTAAGTAATCAAATTGATAGATTTATGAATCCATTTTATAACTTTTAGAAAAACACATTCTTTCACTAGCAAAGCACAAAGCATTTTCATTAACAAATTTAAATTTATCTTTAAGTTTCTTTGTAATAAGAGGTAAAAATGAGGTAAACTTAGACTTATCTAGCAATTAATGTTTCAGTATTTCATGCTATTGGGAACTATCTAGATTTAGAGCAGGGAACTACATGGATTAGAATTTAACAAGCCAGAAGGGATGATTCTAAAGAGTGGCTAGTAAAGTAAGAGTAAAAGCAAGAGAGAAGGGTGTTCTAGAACCCAAGTGAAGAAAATGTTTCAAAGCCCCTGGCTGGGTAGCTCAGTTATTTGCTGCATTGTCCTGATACACCAAGGTTGTGGGTTCAATCCACCAGTCAGGGCACATATGAGAATCAACCAATAAATGCATAAGTAAGTAGAACAGCAATTCTCTCTCTGTCTCCCTCTGTCTCTCTCTGAAATCAGTAAGAAAATAAATGTAGGAAGGAAGGAAGGAAGGAAGGGAGGGAGGGAGGGAGGGAGGGAGGGGAAAGAAAGAAGAAAGAAAGAAAAAGAAAGAAAGAAAGAAAGAAAGAAAGAAAGAAAGAAAGAAAGAAAGAAAGAAAGAAAGAAAGAGAGAGGAAATGTTTCAAGAAATACAGAGTGAACAACTATGTCAAATAGGTAGTGTCGGGTGATCACTTACCTTGTGCAAAATTGGATACTTTTGAGATGAAAGAGAATGTTATTAGTAATCATGTGGGAAGAACAGGCAAAACCAAGACTGTCCTGGGCAAACTGGGACATACAGTCACTGATACAGGTCATGTAAGATGAGGACTGAGAATTGGCGATTAGATTTAGTATGACAGGAGCCATTTTAGTGGAGTGCTGAGAAGAAAGTTTGACTGAAGTGGATTCAAGCCAGAATGTGGAAGAAGAATTAGAGGTAACATGTCTATACATCTCCTTTGAGGAGTTTTGCTGTTAATGATAGCAAAGGTAAAGGCTGGATGAAAATGTGGGATCAAGGGATTTTTGTTTATTTTGGAGATGCATGAAATGACAGTATGTTTGTTGATGGAAATGACCCAATGGAGAACAAAAATTTATAACACAGAAGAGAGTAGAATTGTTAAGTAAAGTTTTTAAACAGTCAAGGGGAAGTAAGAACCAATATACAAGTTATTAATTATCACAATTAAATAGTTGTTACTCTTATTATTATGTTCATTCCTTCAGTACAAATACTCAAATGCTCTTTGGCTTGCATGATTCACGTGAATCTGTTTCTACTGTTTCATATGGAGTTTTCTAGCCCTTTGCTAACATTATTTTAACTAGCCTTTCCCTTTAATAAATCATAGCTTGGACAACATAATTGAGTCTTAATCCTGCTAAATAATAAGGGTTCCTCGCTGTATGGGATGTTGTTTTTAAAAGCAGGGAAGCCTAGAATTTATGATAAAAGTTGGTATTTTAATAGCTTCTACCACATGCCAAGCACTGTTATAAACACTTTTTATGTATCGGCTCATTTTATTATCACAATAATCCAATGAGGTTGACACTACTGTTATTCCCATTTTACCGACTGGGAAAACTGATATACACAGTGAGTAAATGGGGGAGCCAAGCTGTGAACACCAACTGTTGGGCTTTGGCATCTACGCACTTAACCCCACCATAATATTCTTCCTCTCTTCTAAACAAGAATTAAGTCGAGGCCCTGGTGATGATCTCAGGGTGTATTGAGCTTAGTTTAGTCCCCAAAGAAAAGAAAGCAAGCTAAATTCTTATTACAGTGTCTTGAGCTATCCTCAAAAATCTCAGAAGAACTTCTCGGATTAATCTCATTTTATTATGGATCATTATTTATGGATTTGACTTTGTACATAAAACATGTAAAGAACAGTCAAAATGCCTTTCTGAGAGTAAAGGATCTGGCTTTAATTTACATTACTATTGTTATACGCCATGAGGAGCCCCGACTACTTCTTTTAAAATAATTTTTATTTAGGATTACATTCATAAAAATACATAAATCATAAGTCCACAGTTAGATAAATTTACACAAAGTAAGCACACCCATGTAACTAGTACCCAGATCAAGAGCCAGAACATTGTCAGTGTCTCAGGGCTCCACTCTTGCCAGCTGTCAGTCACTATTCTTTTAAAGATAACCACTATTAGTTTTATATGTTTTTTTTAACCTAAATCCAAACCTATTTATTTATTTATTTATTTATAAACATAGAACACTTCACGAATTTGCATGTCATCCTTGCACAGGGGCCATGCTAATCTTCTTTGTATTGTTCCAATTTTAGTATATGTGCTGCCAAAGTGAGCACAATCCAAACCAATTTTAAAGTTCACCCTTACTCCCATTAAAAATCCATATATTTCTTGCCTGATTTTGAATGAGTTCTTTCCAACTCACTCAAGGGTGAAAGCTAAAATCATATAATGTCCTATCTACCGAAATGACCACTTTTTTATTCTTCTCAGTTTTTTGTGAACTACATTTATGTCATAAAATTACAAATAATTGCCCAATTACAAATAATTGGCGTGGCTCAATGGATTGAGTGCCAGCCTGTGAACCAAAGGGTCTCTGGTTCAATTCCTAGTCAGGGCAATGCTTGGGTTGCCCGCCTGGTCCCCAGTAGGGGGTAAATAAGAGGCAACTGCACATTGATGTTTCTCTCTCTCTCTTTTTCCCTCCCTTCCCCTCTCTAAGAATGTGTAAATAAAAAAAGCAGAATTATTGGAAACAAATTATACTGTATCAAGATGGACCAAGCACATTAAAAATTATCTGTACTAACAGGTGGCATAAAGGCTCAACCTGCGGCTCTCAAGAAACTGCCATTTTATTGGTTGTTAGAAAGAAGGAGTGGAGAATAAATAAAGGATAAAATGCAGGCAGGAAATAGTACATAAAATATAGTTATCAGTAGCTGCAGAAACAGTAGATTCTGTTTTATACGGGGGGGTAAAGTTTACAATTTATGAAAATGACCTAGGTGGAAATATATGGCACATAATACTAGCCATATATGAACTGACATCCTTGTAAGTGTGGACTTTGGGAGAGAGGGGGTGGGGGATAAAACATGAATGAATGTGGGGGAGGATCCTAATGAAAGCCTGGTGTCCCAGCCAGATTATGTCTGTGTCTCTTGCCCTGCAAAATACTTCCTTCCCACATCTACTCTTTACTTTTTTCTCCTGGCAACTTTCCTAACTTCTCTTTTCCTTCTGCCTTCTTCCACTTCTTTTTTTTTTCTCTCTTTCTTCATCTCTTCTCTACCAGTGATACCAAATTATATCCTCACATTAGCAGTCCTGATGGCTACAAGGTCAGAGACCTCTAATTTTGAACAGGATTGAAAACTGCACTCATAACCTAAGGTGTGGGTTTTTAGGAAATCAAACATTATGAAACCCAGTACAAAGATGAACAGATAGTTCTTGTACGTGACCAATAGCTGTGACTAAACTTAAGCAGTATGGAACTCATAGACAAGTTATGTATGTTCTATATATAGGAACTATAGATATGGGGAACCAACAGTTTATGATCAAAACATTAACCAGTAATTTACATAGACTGGAAGAAAAAAGTTCAAAATCCACAGTCCTTTATCTTCTATATAAACGACTCACAATCTCAGATGATCACCTCTCATAATTGCAATCATTAGGACTACTTGTGTTTCTGTCCTGTTCTCACCATGGTGGATTACATATTTATATGGACTCGAGTTCTGTTCATCTACTGCTGTTTTCTGACTGTACATTGTGTGCAACGTAAGAAAATTTGCTTTATTTCTGTAGGTTGGATATGTAAATAATTAATTAGATTTTAACTAAAGAGGGAGTCTAGGGCATGAGAGGTAGCCTAAGGGACTAGATAATATTTCAAGCAAGCAAAGGCTCTGTTGCTAAAAATTCACAAACTTGAAAGTATCTGATTTTTTAAAAAAACTTACTGTTTTAGAAGGGATAAATAATTGTTTTCTCTTGGAGCTATCATATTAGTTTCTGATCTCTGAGATAAATATAAAAAGTTCCATGAACTACCAACTAAATTTTTCACTCCTGTCGATATTAAGATAATATTAGACTACTCATATTTAAAAACACTTTGTTTTTTTATAATATGTAAAGGTTATAGTTTATTTTTCAGGAAAATTTCTCTCTGCAATATGTTCAAATCACATCTGCCTATAAAACATAGCCTAAAATATTTGCCAAGCCAGGAAGTACACTTCTTTTTCAAAACACTGTCTGTTGCAAACAGATGTGACATATTTCTCCAAACAGCACCATTAGACACCACCCCCCAATTCTGGTGTGGAATTTTTGCAATGTTGGTTAGTTAAATAGTCACCGAACCATTTTGATCTCTGAAGTTGTTTCCATATTCAAAGAATAGAGTCATTGAAACTTTTATTGAAGTACTGTATTGCATTTTCACTTACAAATGTTATGTTTTCTAATGTCACTTTTTCATCTTTACAAATATGTGTATGTGAAAAAAAGTCAGTGTGTTGTGTTTTCTGTTAGGGAAAATCTGTCTGAAGCACAGTTTTCCTTTGGATCCTTAGGCTTGATCTTATCAAAGAGCTTTTCCTTTCCACCTCTACCTTCAGACACTCAGAACCCTGGGATTTAGACAATCTGAAACCTTACTCTATAGAATCTCTTTGTGTTTAAGCTGGAAGACAGTCAAAATAGTTCCCCCTTTCTTGAAACTGCAGTTTCTGTGCATGCTAATTGGCCCTGTGACTACTAATAAAATTTCCTACTCATTAATTTTCAGAATCTAGAAAACCTTTGCTTAGTCCGGAATGCTGGAAAGGATACTTCAGCCATATCATTGGCAGAATGACTCTTCAGGATAGCCTTAGAAATAGTCATTAAGGGCTGGGACTGAGGTCCCTACTAGTCCCAGGGGCCAACTAGTGGGGCAACTAGTCTGTCTGTGTCAAGCAGGGCACTTTGAGGGTAAAGAGAGAAGTATTAATAATTAGTCCCAGAACTGGACATAAACTGGAACTGTCCTAGCAAACTAGAATTATGTTGACCCTCTTGTCTTCGGATACATCATTTTGTCTTCCTTTAGTCAAAGGTGATATGCACATTTTGTCCAAAAGAACTTTATTTCAAATGTTAGATGTCCTTTGGGCTGTAATACTGTATATTGACTGTTTTTAAAGCCATGCTGTGAAAGCTATTAGGTTCAAAATAATAGAATGAAATCATGTTTGTTGTTTGTCTTCATTTTTGGAGACTGGTACTTGAAAACAGGATATTTGAATATTATCAAAGTACCACAAATTTATTTCCATAGTTTAAGATGCTTGAACAAAAATAGTTTGTCTAACATGCTGAACTTTTCACATGTATATTAGCAAAGTTTGAAACATTTGTTCTACATTGTTGAGGAATGTTTTCATGTTGTTATTTACAGCCAATTGTACCTCTGTGGCTGACTTTGACAACTGTCCAGGGAACATAACAGACTTCTGTCCAAAGGATATTGTTTGTGCATGCAAAGATGGAGAGCCTTTTTGCAAGTAAGTGGTTATACATGCTGTAAAAGCAGAGTAAGCACAATATATTGTGAATAATAATTCACTTTGTATTTTTTTGCTGTATTCAACAGGTGTGCTACTTACTTTAAAATAATATTTTAATCAGGAATGCCTCTTACAAATGTGATACAGATCTTGTTGATTCTCTAAAATATTTTAATGTACTATTTAAAAGACAACATATATAATTTAAAAGATTAACTGGGAGAATTTATATTCACTTTAAGAGATTAGACAGACAGACTTTTCCAGACAGACTCTTTAGAGATAAATTATGCATTCATTAATAAATGGTTTCACTGTTCTAAAGAAGAAAAATTAAGGTATATCTCATGTTAGGCAATGACAATAATCCTGGTTGTTATATAGAATTATTTTTCTTGTAATTCAAGGAATATTTAAAATATACTCACTGACCTGTTTGTTTCCAGGTTTACTTCTTATAAAAAAAAGTTTCTTTTCTCTGTTATAAATACATTTTCTTTTAAAAGTTAGGGAGATTTTCTACTTTGTTCTAATCATAAAAATTAGAGTAGTTAGGTCAAAAATTGGAAGAAGATCCAGGAAAAAACAGATAAGAATAAGAAGACTTGTGTATGTGAGAAAAACATTTTCCAGGGTCCATGCCTCTTGAACTGAATTTTTGAAACTGATAGAAAGAAAAGCAGGTATAGATCCAAGATCTGTCAGTTTATTCCATGATCTCAGAGAGGAAGGGGTGAGGGGACTGGAAGAAGAAGAAAGTAGCCAAAGAACATATATGCAGCGCCCATAGACACAGTCAACAGTGTGGTGAAGGCCAGGGTGGGGGGAGGGGGAGGGGCTGAGTGGAGCAGAGCAAAGGGGAGAAACGAGAGAAATCTGTAATAGTATCAACAGTAATATATATATATATATGTAATATTAGAAACAGAATACCATAACAAAACTACTTTGTGAAAGAAAATGAAGTTAGAAAAACAACTGACCAAAATATAACTTTCAAAAATTCCATTAAATGAAATTTAACCACACACACACACACACACACACACACACAAAACACGTGTAGACAAAGGGATCAATGTGGACAAAGCAATGAGATTTTAGAGAATTTTGTGTTTGCAGAAATGTGAATACTTTTTAATCATGCTATTAATTGTTTTAATCCTCACCTGAGGATATGCTTATTATATTTTTTTAGAGAGAGAGAAATGAGGGGAGAGGGGAGAGAGAGATAGAGAGACAGAGACACAGAGAGAGACAGAGACAGAGACAGAGAAACATGGATGTGACAGAAACAGCGATCGGTTGCTCCCATAAGAGTCCTGACCAGAGATCCAACCCACAATCTTTTGGTGTATGGAATGACACTCCAACCAGCTGAGCCACTCAACCTGGGCTTACATCGTACGCTCACATTGTGCTCTTGACATGCTGAATGAACATATATTTTCAGTTCTTCAAGTGCACTATTTCCTCTCTCACCTTTGGCTGTTCAGATATGCTGTAACTTCTTACTTACTCTTCTCCTCTCACCACAGCTCTCCTTCCCTTGAGACATTCCTACTTAACCTTCAATACTAAGCTCCATCATACTGCTAAGACAGTACTTAAACTGTCCTACTGCAATTTCTTTGAGTGTAGGGTATGTTTCCTTTTTGAGAGCACTACAAAAGACAGAATTTAGTCTTGTTTATCTCCAGCACCTAGCACAATGCCCGCCATATAGAAGGTGTTCTGAAATGATTGCTGGAATGAATTGGTCATTCAATGGGAACGGTTGCTCAACAGTGTAAAATATTGGAAAACTATTGAAGAAAATGAAAAGTGAAGAAAACATTGGACTTAGCATTTAGGAGTTGTTGGCGATAACCTTTAAGAATATCATTCCAAGATTCAGATGAGAATACAAACCAGATGGTGAAATTACATTCAAGAAGTAGGGAGTAAATATAATACAGCAATGAAGAAATTGTCATTTGACAATTTTAATGTTATTTGTAAACTCGTAGCTTGAGGAATTCTGAAGGCATCTAATCAACATTTTGGCTAAAATCTAATTACCCTTGATTTATTTTCCTAATCCTTATTGTGATTATTTGCCTCATTTGTTTTACAAATCTTTACAAGTGTTAATTGCCACATCAGATTAACATCATGCCTATTTTGAAATTTTTCTCTACCAAGGTGATTCAAACAACTTCAACTTATTTTACTGATGGATCTCACTGTGGAACATAACTGCACTGGACTTGGGTGCCATATTTGTATCTGTCACCTTCTTTGAATGATAGCATTTTTATTACTAAATATATTTAGCACCACATGGTTTGGGTCAGTTATTTTGACATTGTGAATCAGAGTTAGGCACTAACAAATCAAAGTTGACCATAGAAAACTAAATGATATAATAATAATTTTAGATTTTTATTTATTTTTAGACAGAAGGGAAGGGAGGGGGAAAGAGAGGGAAAGAACATCAATGGTTGCCTCCTGTGCACCCCCTACTGGGTCCTGGCCTGCAACCCAGGCATGTGTCACAGAGCCACACCAGGCAGGGCTATATAAATATTTTTGTTTAAGATTTATGTATTATTTTTACAGAGGAAGAGGGAGGGAGAAAGAGAGAGAGAAACATTAATGTCTGGTTGCCTCTCATGTGGCCTCCACTGGGGACCTAGCCCACAACCCAGGCATGTACCCTGACTGGGAATCGAACTGGCGACCCTTTGGTTTGCAGCCCATGCTGAATCCACTGAGCTATGCCAGCCAGGGCTTATGATAATAATTTTAAATTCTTTAAACATTTTAACAGCATTGCTGAAATTGTGTAAGGATACTCATACCACCACCACCACCCACAGCCTTTCACACACAGACACAGATGTTACAAATGTTTCATTCATATAAAAAATGAAGAAAATTAAAAGCCACATTTAAAATGTTTAAAGACAATTTAATAACATTGGAGAAACTAAGAACTCCTGCCTGAGATATAAGTTTTAATATTTCAGTTGTTTATTTCTATATTTTTGAAAATATTTTCTTATTTATTATTTTTAAGATTTTATGTATTTATTTTTAGAGAGGGGAAGGGAGGGAGAAAGGGAGAGAAACATCCATGTGTGGTTGCCTCTGGTGCGCCCCCTATTGGGGACCTGGCCCAAAACCTAGGCATGTGCCCTGACTGTGAATCAAACCAGTAACCCTTTGGTTTGCAGCCCGCGCTCAATCCACTGAGCCACACCAGCCAGAGCTCTTTGTTTTCCTCTTTTTTTTAATTGAATTTTAGGGTGACACTGGTTAATAAAATTATACAGGTTTCAGGTGCGCTACTTCTCAGAGTGCATTCAATCCACTGAGCCACACCAACCATTCTACCTTACCACCACTGTTATCATTCTGGTCTAAGCTATTCTGGTTACGTCTTGCTTATTACTGAAAGAGTTTTGTGACCTTTCTCCCTACTTCTACCTTTGTCCCTGTACACTCTGTTTCCAATAACCGGTACTCGTTCTTCATTTTACTGATTGTAAAAGTCAAAGTCCTTACAATGACCTGTAAGGTATTTTGTGATCTGGTCTTGTTCCTTTCTGGCCTTATCTTCTACCATGCTCTCTTAACTCACTGTACTTCAGCCACACTTTTCTTGTGTTCCTCAAACATGCAGGTGTTCTCCCTCTTGTTTAAGAGCCTTTTGTACTTGCTGTTCTCACTGGCTGGAATGCTCTCTTCTCCCCAAATATCCCTCCCTCACCACCTCAAACTTCCTTCAAATGTTACTTCTCAATGAGCCCTGCCATCTACTACCCTATTATATCGCTGAAACCTGTCCCACTATTCTGCCCCCTACACTGCCACCCCCCCTAACTCTGGTCTTTTTCTTTTTTCCTCAGCACTAACACCTTTAAACATTCTACATACTTTAGTAATTATGCCGATTTTTGTTGTTTGTCTTTGTTACATTTTAAACTACTTGAGGACATGGATCTTTCTCTTTTTTAAAAAATTTTTTTATTGTTGTTCAATTACAGTTGTCTGCATTCCCCCTCACACTCCTCCCCCACCCTAGCCCTCCCCGCCTCCCTCCCCTGATTCCAACCCCCCTTGGTTTTGTCCACGTGTCCTTTATAGTAGTTCCTGAAAACCCTTCCCCCCATTATCCCCTCCTACCTCTTCTCTGGTTACTGTCAGTTTGTTCTTAATTTCAATGTCTCTGCTTATATTTTGCTTTATTCACTGGTCTATCTCATATGCATGGAACAGTAATTGGCACATAGTAAGCAGCCAATAAATGAATATAATGGTATCATTTAATAGATACTTCCTTTGTGATTCATTCCTAAGCTAAGCAAGAAATATACTTTTGCGAAAGTTTTTTTTTCCAACAACAAACCTTACCCAGAGTGGCTCATTTCATTGGAGCCCCCTCCCATAGAACAAAAGGTCGTGAGTATGATTCCCAATCACAGCACCTACCCAGGTTGTGGACTGCTCCCCAGTTAGGAGAACTCATTGAAGTTTCTCTCTCACATCCCTCTGTCCCTCTTTCTCTTTCTCCCCCTACCTCACTCTTGAGAAGCAATAAAAATGTGCTTAAATGAGAATAATAACATAAAATATACTTTGATTTCCATAAATGAATTACACTGTGTTACATATTATTTTTAATAACTTTAAAAAAGTATACTTTATGGTATGTGAATAGTATCTCAGTTTTTAAAATCTATTTTATTGATTATGCTATTACACTTGTCCCATTACCCTCCCTTCATTCCCCTCCACCCTGCACACCCCTTCCAACCACATTCCCCCCTTTAGTTCATGTTCGTGGGTTGTACATATAAGTTCTTTAGCTTCTACATTTCCCATACTATTCTTACCCTCCCTCTGTCTATTTTCTACCTAGCATCTATGCTACTTATTCTCTGTACCTTTTCCCACTCTCTCCTCCCACTCCCCTGTCGTTAACCCTCATGTGATCTCCATTTCTGTGGTTCTGTTCCTGTTCTAGTTGTTTGCTTAGTTTGCTTTTGTTTTTAGGTGTGGTTGTTAATAACTGACTTTGTTGTCTTTTTACTGTTCATATTTTTATCTTCTTTTTCTTAGATAAGTCCTTTAACATTTCATATAATAAGGGCTTAGTGATGATGAACTCCTGTAACTTGATCTTATCTGGGAAGCATTTTATCTGCCCTTCCAGACTAAATAATAACTTGCTGAATAGAGTCATCTTGGATGTAGGCCCTTGCCTTCCATGACTTGGAATACTTCTTTCCAGCCCCTTCTTGCCTGTAAGGTCTCTTTTGACAAATCAGCTGACAGTCTGATGGGCACTCCTTTGTAGGTAATTCTTTCCTCCGGTCTTGCTGCTTTTAAGATTCTCTCCTTCTCTTTAATCTTGGCTAATGTAATTATGATGTGCCTTGGTGTGTTCCTCCTTGGGTCCAACTTCTTTGGGACTCTCTGAGCTTCTTGGACTTCCTGAAAGTCTATTTCTTTTGCCAGATTGGGAAAGTTCTCCTTTATTATTTGTTCAAATGACTTGTCCACTTGTTGCTCTTCCTCTTCTCCTTCTGGTACCCCTATAATTCGGATGTTGGAACATTTAAAGATGTCCTGGATGTTCCTAAGCCTCTCCTCATGTTTTGGAATTCTTGTTTCTTCATTCTTTTATGATTGGATGTTTCTTTCTTCCTTCTGGCCCTCTCCATTGATTTGAGTCCCAGTTTCCTTCCCATCACTGTTGGTTCCCTGTACATTTTCCTTTATTTCACTCAGCATAGCCTTCATTTTTTCATCTATTTTGTGACCAAATTCAACCAATTCTGTGAGCATCCTGATTACCAGCGTTTTGAATTGTGTGTCAGATTAGGTTGGCTACTTCTTCATCGCTTAGTTGTGTTTTTTCCAGAGCTTTGATCTGTTCTTTCATTTAGGCCTTTTTTTTCTGTCTTGATGCACCTATTATGTAGTGAGGGGTGGAGCCTTAGGTGTTCACCAGGGCGGGGCAGCCCAGTTGCTGGGTTGTGATGCTGTATGTGGGGGAGGGGTCCAAGAAGGAACAATGGCACTTGCTTCCCTCTCTGCCAGATTTCAGTCACTTCTGCCACTTCCCCCAAGCAAATTGGGCCCTTCTGGTGCTGATTCCCATGTGGGTGGGTTTGTGCACATTCCAGGACCCTGTGGGTCTCTCCAATGAACTCTCCTGTGAGGCTGGGAGTCTCTCCCAGCACCTCAACCCTCACAGGTGTTTTCAGTTGGTGTTTTGAGGCTTTATTTCCCCGCTCCGGGGCCCTGGCTTGTGCAGTCTGTCTCCCTCCGTGGTTTTGCCTGGTTTGTCTGTGTGCAAATGTGGGACCCCCGGTCCACCAGGCACCTTGTGCGCTGCACCCCTCCACAATCCGACATTGCTGGATCCGGCCCCTGCCGCCTTGTGCACCCCTGTCAGCCACTGCTTTGCTGTGACCCCTTTCCGCCCAGCTGCCCAACCCTGCCCCTCCCACTGGTCTGGATGAATGTGTCTACTTTAACTCCTTGGTTGTTGGACCTCCATACAGTTCAATTTTCTGGCAGTTCTGGTTGTTTTTTGTTTTTAAATTGTTGTTGTCCTGCTTTTGGTTGTGCGAGGAGGCACAATGTGTCTACTTACGCCTCCGTCTTGGCTGGATGTCTACATATTGTGTTTTGTTCAATCCTCACTCAAGAATATATCCTTTGATTTTTAGAGAAAGAAGAAGGGAGGGACAGTGGTGGGGGGAGAGAGAGAGAGAGAGAAACATTAATCAGATGGGACCTGCAATCTAGACATGTACCCCAACAGGGAACTGAACCTGCCACCTTGTGGTATATGAGACAATGCTCCAACCAACCCGACCAGGGACATTATGTTACATATTAGAAGCCTTATCTAACTGAGCAGATTATTACTTACTTGAAGCTGGTAGATTCATTTCCTTGTAGAATCCTAGACTATAAGAACTATAAAAGATTATGATAATCATTTAATGAATCCATTCATGTTATCCATGACAGTGCTTCTTTATTTTAGATATTATTTATTCATTTCTAGAGAGAGGGGAAGGGAGGGAGAAAGAGAGGAAGAGAAACATCAATGTGTGGTTGCCTCTTACACACCCCCTACCAGGGACCTGGTCCACAACCCAAGCACCCTGACTGGAAATCAAACCAGAGGCCTTCCAGTTTGCAGGCTGATGCTCAACCCCACTGAGACACACCGGCAACAGCAACAGTACTTGTTAATATATTGGAAAAATGCAAAGCAAGAGAAGCCAATTTAGGATCTGACATTTATTGTTCAATGGGGTAATTCATTATCAATTTTGCAAAAGACAATGAAGCAGTGTGTAAAGATACTACAAGAGCTAACCTCACCATTAGTCACTCCCATGGAAGATGGTGAGAAGTCATGTTATTCCTCCTCACAAACCCATGGACATTTCTATAGGGGCATATGGCATGCCAGTTTACTCTATGCACCAGAAAACCACATTCAGATTATTTGGCGGAGTGTCAAAGCTTTATAACAGCACTAGACATTCTTATATGAGTCATTTATTTCTCTAAAATACAGGAGGAGAATCTAGAGTCATGGGAACAATGGGGGCAGATTTCGCTGGCAGACAGTGGAGTCTCACCTTCTCATGTTTCTTCTTGTACTTGCTGTAGAGTGGCGGAGTCACTATGCTAACCAGCATTCATCACTGTAAGAGTGGGTGGGGGGAACGCCTAGCCTGCAATTACATAACTGGCAGAATAGGCTCTTTGAACTTTTTTCATAACACTCACAGAACTAAAGTAGCTGAAGTGAGGTGACATATGAGCAGTGGGCAAAATGTAGATGGTTGTAACAGCAGTCTTGAGACAGCCATTCTGGGAAAGGCTTTTTTTTTTTTTCCATTTCTAACTAAGTTCCCCATCTTTAGTAGCTAATGGTTGGGAAATCCTGACAGCCTTCTTCATGATGAGTCAATGTGTTCAAACCTGTAGGTTGTAGAGTGTTTGCTCAAGTGGAAAATGGGACAGCATAAATCTCTTAAGGACCTTAAAGGGAAACCTTATGGTTTATTAATAATGAAAGGTTTGATTCATTCAGGAAGAGACATTTTTTTTCTGATCTGTGAGCTTTTCCTATTTCTTTTATCTCTATCTAGATGTCCAAATTTCAGAGGTCAGTGGGGAAATTACTGGTATATGGGAGCCAAATGTGACCAACTCTGGAATACTCTGGACCTGGTTTTGGTGACAGTATTGCCTGGAATAGGACTGGCTTTAATAGTTGGTGTAACAATCCAGACCATCCACTACTGTAACAAGAAATCAAAGAACAATATAAACGATCAAAGGTAAGACATTTCTAAATATCTCCAAGAATGATGGGAAATCTCTTGTGAGATGAGCAAATGAGTCAAGAAATAATGGATATCATTTATCATGTGTATATGTGGTATATTCTCTTCCATGTTCCTAACATTTAATTATATTGGAAGAAAATTCCCATAACTAAATACATTTTGGTCAGAACGTGGATACAGCAAGTATCCATACAGCCAAACGTAATTCACTAAAGAATTGTCCTATTTCAGTGTCTTTCTTCTATTTGTGTGCACCACGTGTACTGCCCTAAGCAGGGGTGGGACTGCTGTCCTTCCTATTCACCCCAACCCCTAGCAACAATGTCACTGAAATGAGAAAAGGAATCCAATGGACTTCACTGTTATAAGACTCCATCTTGGGTAAATCTCTTCTCCTTACTGGGCTTCCATTTTCTCACCTATAAAATTGAGATTCATATAATCGGGCCTACCCACCTTACAGAGATGGTGAGAATGATACTGAAAGCCATAGTCATTTACTAAGGGTTTGTTGTCTATGTCAGGCTGAATTAGAAGTGTTTCATATGTATCAATTCATATAATCTTCACCAGCACCCTATAAAGTACAGATGAGATTCCCAAGACACAGATCAAATAACTTGGCTGAAGTTACAGGGCTAAGTATGCACCCAGACAATCTGGCTCCCAGGCCTAAACTCTTAACCCCCATGCTATAGGAATGGAATCTCATAAGATAAAACGCTGCTTTGAAAGCTGCAAAGCCTGGCTGCTTACCCTTTATTTCTTTGCTTAAAAGGAAACAATACCCTTTATACTTTGTGCTGCCTCTGAACCATAGAGATATGAGGGGTAAATACCAGTAAGTTAAAATCTCATCAAACTTATATGAGTTAATTCAAATTAGTGTTGACTTTGAGGCATCCAGTGACAAGATAATGTTACCCCGTATACTGTGTGAGAAGAGTTTGAAATATTACTTTTAAATTGGAAGTAGCTGGTAATGTGAGCCTCACACTTTTAAGACTATACTTGCAAATTGCAAAAATAAATCAACAATTTGAACAGTCTTAGATATTTGCTTCTGGGAGGGATGCGATAAACTCTCCAACTGTTCTGACATTTCAAATTACTAATCTTTGTTTGTGCCCTTATTCCATACTCTTTAAAATACCATGAGGTACACATGTATGAATGCATAAAATCAATGTTTTTTTAAAAAATAACATTTATTTTAAGAGTTAACAAGTGCATATAATAGGAAACTGAAAAACAGAAGAAGCAAAGAACGAAGTCATCCATAACCACAAGCAGTTTACAGTCTAAGATGTCCTCAGTTCCCTGTGTGTCACACAACTACACTTCCATTTTTGTGTAATTAAGATCATGAAGTTATGAATCATGATTTTTCACACATTGTGAATGTTTACCATTTCATAGTCTCAAAAGTAAGTATTCTGATAACCAAGAATACACTGCACCAACTCAATCCGGAAGAAAAAAATGTAAACCTGCCTTTGTGGGTGACAAAAACTTCATAAAGGACAAAAATAGCAACAGACCCCTAGATAAAGATACTGACAAAGTTGTAATTAAAATACTGTATTCCCTTAATGTTCTATTAAACATGAGACACAAAGCAACAGAGTACATGGAATACAGCACTTCTAAGAGAATTCATTGTGATCTTTGCTTTTAAGATATTAGCAAGGAGGCAAGTTTTGACTGAAATACTTCACAATGTATTCCTACAGTACAACCAAAAGACATGCACACACATCAATGGTTGCATCACAATGTGACCATGTATGCATGCATAAAATCAATGTTCATCAGCATGGTAATGCAAGGAGACTTGACTTTGGATAATGAACACACAATACAATATGCAGATGATGTGTTATAGAATTGTACACCTGAAACCTTTATAACTTTATGAACCAATGTCACCTGTGACTGTGTGGCTTTGGAGAATTTCCTTAAAATTTTTCAGCATCAGTTTGCTTCATCTGCAAAAATGGAGCTAACGATACCTATCTTGCAGCTTTTTTCTAAATATTCACATACTATAATATGATTATTTTGAAATAAACTGATATTTGAAATTTACTTTCCATTGTATCCAAAACCTAAGATGGATTAATGGAGGGATAGAGAGATGGATGCATGGGCACATATATGTTAAAGCAAGTATAGTAAAATATTCACAATAAAATTGAGGTTATAGATAGATACATGGGCATTCACTGTAAAAAATAGATTTTGCTATATGTTTGAAAATTTTCATAAGAAACTTTTGGGGGAAATGAGGTAGTTAAAACACTTTTAACATGGAAATCTTTCTTTTTTTTAAGATTTTATTTATTTATTTTTAGAGAGGAAAGGGAGGGAGATAGAGAGAGAAACATCAATGTGCGGTTGCTGGGGGTTATGGCCTGCAACCCAGGCATGTACCCGGCTGGGAATCGAACCTGCAACACTTTGATTCACAGTCCGCGCTCAATCCACTGAGCTACACCAGCCAGGGCAAAATCTTTCAACAAATGGTAGCATTTATTATTGCCTTGTCTCAAGTTCATATAGTAATAGAGTCTTAAGATGGGAGCATTCATTCTGTATGGTCAAAATGAGTTTATTAGGGACAATGATTCATAACTACTGAAGCAAATGGTCTATCCTAACTATGTGTTGTTTTTCATTTAACTTGCCAGACAACAGAAGAGTTCATCAGGTCTCCAACCTGAGCATAAATCTGCATATGCTTTCGATAATGCTGCGAGATTTTCTCAACCTCAAGAAGGCCAGGTAAACACCAAGACTCATTTGTCAAATAGACTAAGTGTACAAAAGACACCAAAGACAGAAATGCTTTGCAAAAACAAAAAGAAACTTGGGAGATTAAAGAAGGACTCACAGACAGCAGAATGAAGTGTTATCAGAAGATGGAATTGCACAAATGAGGAATGGTCAATGACAGGTTATTTATCAGGAGAGTGCAGGCCAGGCCTGGGTCAAATTACAATGGGAGTGCTCTCTGCTTGCCTCTCCATCATTTGTTTCCAGGTAAACATAACTTAAAACATCTATGGAGAGCAGTCTTAAGAAAAGTGAAAACACATAACAAAGGGGAACGGAAGTAAGTAAAACAGGGCAGCAGGCCAGAAAGATAAGAGGACAAGAATTCGAGCCTTATGACTTCTTTTTATACTAGCTGAAAAATCTCTTTTTAAAAACATCTAATATGGTATCAGTAGTGCAGATCCTCCAAAACATAAGATTTGTGTTCACCCAGAATCTTTTTAATTCACTGTACTTTCAGAACAGCTCTAAATATAGAAAAAGACCACAAGTATCAGAAGCAGCAATAATGTGCTTTTATTGTTTCAAATCAAACAAATCACTAGTAAGATACCACAAAATCATTGTTTGTGATGGTATATTAAGTCCTCAGTATAATTCTACGTATGTTCCTGATGTGGTACCCTGTCAATAATATAAAGACCAGTTAAAACTGAAAAGCATAAAGATAAAAAGTTGACAAAGGGCGGATGAATGAAGGCTAGTGGTCAAACATGTTTGACTCTCGGTCAGAGCGGTTAAATGTTGGGACTTATACCACACCATGGAAGAAGAAGGTATGTGTGAGTGTTATATATACTATTTTGTGGGTAGATGGTTAAGATCCTCTGTGTGAATATACCATGGTAAATAATGTTGATGGCTACAAAAGGCTTACTCTAAGGTTGTTGAGTGCACTTAGCTGTCAACATTTTCTCTTGAAGTGACTAGCTGTTTTGTAGATGACTCCTAAGATTTAGAGAATGTTACAGGTAGGAGGTGCTTTTCTTTTGCTAAGACTTCACTTACTTTTAGCCTCCTTAGTTACTTCGGCCACGCACATATATTTCAAATCTAGTTGACCTCCTCTTGTTCTCTCATCATCCCTTTTTACTTAATGCTATACAAGCTTTAATTGTGGATAAAATTTGGAAGGAAAGCCTGCTTTAGTTCTGTTACATCTATGTGAATGCTTCCACTGTGCATATTTTTTATTGTTATTCAATTACAGTTGTCCCAATTTTCCCCTTTGCTCTCCCCTGCCCTGTCTTCCCCTCTACACTCCCATAGTCAGTCCACACCCTGTTGTCCATGTCCATGGGTCACTCATACATGTTCTTTGCCTTCACCCTTCCCTTTCTTTCCTCCCTTAACTCTCTCCCCCATCCCCTCTGGTCCCTGTCAGTCTGTTCCTTGTTTTCTCAGTGCTGTGACCATTTCCTAAACTTCCCTTAACTGAGGATACCGCAAGTGAACTACCATGCCTTTTCTCAATCTACCCTATTCTTCTCTTCCTGACTGTTTCCCAAAGTCTGGGGAATTAGGGTTAACAATTTAATAGAGAACTAGGAAACTTTCCAATTGAGTTAAACTGTTTTGAAAGGTGTCCAGATGCCCTGTGCTCCAAATGTGCATTTAAAATATTGACTTTGGCATGTGATGACTTCTCAGAAGCTAAGGCCCAGTTCAGGTTTCCATAGAATTGAAGAATGCTTTTTCATGCAAATTCGCCACCATTTTCTTTATTCACCTGGCTCACACACACAGAACCAGAAATTAATAGGCACAGCCTGAGTTCATTCTTGAATTGTCAAGGCTAATCTCTTCTAATTGAGTTAGCAATTAGATTTGAGTGGGTGGAAATAAGACCACATATTTGCTACCATTTCTTTACCCACCCCACCCCCCACTTTTACAATTAGCACAAAGTAGCTTGTGACTTTCAGAGTTATTACAGTCCTAGCAGGAGTGTATAATTAGAAATCCCACTGAGCTCTGTGAATCTCTTGCAAGAAGGTGTACTGCAGTTTAGTCCTGTGAGAAGAATTCACCATGGCCTTGGTTATTTTTGGCTGTTGTTCTGATCATAAATATGTTTTTGAAATTCTTCTGCTTTTAAACCAAGCCTAGATGGCATGATTCAGCCATTTCCACAGGATATATCATGTTTGAATGACTTTCACCTAGTGAAAATATATACCAACTATGACTGGGGGATGGGGGGGTTTATTTGTTACATAGAGACCCAGGAATTGACATAGAAATAAATACTGATATGGCTTAAAAGCATATAATAAACCATACAGTAGAGGCAACAGTTAATGACAAATGCTCGCTGAAAACAAAGGGTATTTTGACTAACAATAAAATTTTCTAGATTTGGCAGTGATAATTACAAACCAAATTGCTGAATTTATTGTGTTTTCAAATAGAATAAATTGAAAGTGGAAGATGATAAGATAAGCTTAAAAGTTTCCATTTACTAAATCTAAGAAGTTATTCTTCCTAGATAATACGTGAAAATAGTATCCAATCATTGTGTGAGTGGATATTATTTTAATGTACCTGAGAATATTATCATAATTTAAATAATGTCTCTTTAGAAGTTGTTTATATCATCTTCTCTATCATTTTTATTAATATTCAAACACAGTTGTCTCCATTGTCCCACCACTACCTTCCCCTGACCCACCCACCCCCATCCCACCTCCTACCCTCAATCCACTCCCCTTTTAGCTTTGTCCATGGGTCCTTTATACATATTCATTTTTGAATAGAAAGACATTATCAAGCACTCTGCTACAGATGGCACTGTGCAAAATATGATAATCTACAGACCATTGCTACATTCTCAGTATGCATTATCACTCATTATATACATTATTAACTCTACCTTACCAGTAAATGATTAGTTATAGTGTTATATAATTCATGAAATTAATTTGTTTAAGACAACCAGCTATGTAAAGTGAACTGGAAATCACCAAGGTAGAAATAACATCTTTTATTGTGATTATTTTCTTTCAAAATTCCATGTTTTGCTTAGGACAAAAAATATTAAGCTGGCTAGAAACAGTAAATGAATCCAAGCAATTAAACACTAAATGTTATTTTTTTCCAAATCAATGGTGGAAATATTTCATTTCCACTAAATATTATTTTAATTGATTTAAAAGATGATTGACAGCAATCCTATGCACTGAAGAAAAGCATATAGTGTATCTTATTATCTTAGGCTAATGTACACAGCAGAAATGTACAGTTAGCAAAGTGATGAATTATCCTTCTGTTTTCTCTTTTATTTCAAAGGTTTTATTTGTAAATATGCAAGTGCAGTTAAACTAGTAGTAGTCTTTAATCAAGAAACAATATATAAAGGAAAGAAGTTATCTCTTTTGTTACAGGTCTAGGCAGAGGATCATTTGTGAATCTTTATTTTCACCCTATTTGTCAACATTACCTACTGCAAGCACCGGGCATATGGTCGAAACTGAGTGCTTGAATACATGAATGAGAGCATGACCGAGTCATGGAGTACTCCCCCATGTGTTTTAGTCTACCCTTGTATAAACTGTCATATTATCATGTGTGTCTTATGTTGATGATCTGCTCACTAAAGAGACACCTCTGGAGTCCAGAATATCTAGCATGGTGATTTGAAACTACACAATACTGATAGAATAATAAATAGCTCCTCATGGTTACAAATAGTAAATGCAAGCCACTGGTTACAGGGAAGCAAATATGAGAGTTGACATAAATCAGAGTAACCCCATTTCCCAATCTTGTGTTCTGATCTCAGGACAAAAGACAGGACACTATTTAAAGGGAAATTAGTAATCTAATTAGGACTAAAGATTTCTTTTATTGTTTGTTGTTTATTGTTTAATTTGAGAAAAAAATCAAATCCAAGATAACATTACAGCTTAACCACGACTGTTTATTTATATAAAAAGCATCAACACATTATTACTTAATTCCTGTATTTTCTTAAAGGATGTTATTGAAATATTGTTAATGAATAATCATTGTAGTCTGCAGCATCATTCAAATGCTTTTTTTCCTGTCTGACTCATCTCTACCTTTTTTTTATTTTGTTAATTACATTTATTGGGATGATATGGTCAGTAATATTATATAACTTTCAAGTATACAATTCTATGATATATCATCAATATATTGCATTGTGGGTTCACCACCCAAAGTCTAGTCTCCCTCCATCACCATATATTTGACCCACACTTTACACTTTTCATCTTCCCCACCCTCCTCCCTCTGGTAACTACCACTCTGTTGTCTGGATGTATGAATTCAGTTTGTTTGTTCATTTGCTGTTTTCTGTTTTATATCCCACATGTGAGTGAAATCATATGGTTCTTGTCTTTTTCCATCTGACTTATTTCACTTAATGTGATTCTCTTAAGATCTATCTGTGTTGTCACAAATGGCACTATTTCATCATTTTTTGTGGCTGAGTAGTATTCCATTGTATATAGGACGTAGCACTTTATCCAATCATCTGTTGAAGGACTTTTACATTATTTCTATATCTTGGCTACCTTGAATAATGCCACAATGAACAAAGGGGTACATATTGTTTTATGAATAAATGTTTTCAATTTGGGGGTATAGCTACCTACAAGAGAGATCACTGGGTCATATGGGAACTCTATTCTTAATTTTTGAGGACACGCCATACTGTTCTCCATCTGGCTGCACCAGTTTACATTCCCACCAGCAGTGAGTGAGGGTTCCTTTTCTCCACATGTTCTTTACCCCAGCCTCTCCTACACGTATTATATTACCTGTCTTGTTGATAATAGCCATTCTACCATGTGTGAGGTGGTATCTCATTGGTTTTTCTGTTTTGTTGAATTTATTGCAGTGACACTGATTAATAAAATTATATCAATGTCAGGGCACATGACCATGTATCCCCCCTTTACCCTCTTCTACCTCCTCCACCC